GTGGAGAGTGGGAGAAAAGAAGTAGATGAAGTAGATGAATAAGAATGACTTCATCTGACAGTTTCCAAAACAACTGAAAACTGCCAATTATTTAGGATGTAAATATGACCTACTAGTAAATAAATAATAATAGTAATAGATTTTTTTTTTTGCATGAAGTGACATTGGAATGGGATTTGAAAACAAAGACTGAGGTCAGTTCTTTGATCTCAAAAGATTGCCAAAATACTTTTACAACATAGTCCTTTCCTGAGGCTGCTGCTGTCCCTCCAGCAACTTTTGCTTTCCCTGGAAGGGACAAGAATCTCAGAATGAGAGCGCCTTGGAATTTTTATCTAGGCAATGCCTTTAACAATTCTGATAGTAATCTCTATTTTTGACCACTTGCCAACTATAAATGTCAATGTGGATTCTTTGTAGGTCTAGGTGTGTTCGGGTCTTTTCCCGTGTAAGATTAAGAGTATCTTGGCAATGTTTTGGCGAGGTCCCACTCGCCATCCTCAGGCTGGTGCTTTCGGCTTCGTGCCAGTGCAAGCAGTGCTTGCTGTTGGTATTGCTGTTGGTAAGCTGTTAGCTGTCAGTACTTTAGTCAGGGTTCATAGTTCAGTCTTTATGCGTGTCTTGTCTGCCAGGCGTTTGGTTCTGGCGATTAGTGTTTTGGCCACGGAGTTCATCTGTGCTGGGTGGTGGTGGGATTGGGCGTTGAGATAGCGGTTGGTGTGTGTTTTCTTCTGGTATATGGTGTGTCCTAGTGTGCCATTTGTTTTTTTGTAGATTAGTACATCTAGGAATGGTAACAAACAAACAACTACCATAAAATTGACCTGGAAAACCAAGGCATATATGAAGTCCCCTGTGCATCATGCCCAGCCACATACATTGGACAGACCAATAGAAGAATAAGTACCCGTCTGGATGAACACAAAAATGCAGTAAAAAAGCTGGAACACACTTCCTCACTAGTCCAACACATAAAAGCAACAGGTCATAGCATTGACTTCAATGGCAGCAAAACCCTAGCCACTATAGAAAACCCCAGCTACAGAATTATCAGAGAAGCCATAGAGGTTGAAAAAAGACCTGAAAGCATGAATAGAAGAGATGATTCCACCAGACTGTCAATTATTTGGAAGCCTGCACTCACAAACAAAAAAATCTCCACACCACAAGCAAGGCAAACACCTGGGCACAAACAGATTCCCCCTGATACCTCCAGCTCAAACACACCCCAACCAGGCACCCAGATGAAACCTAGCTTCCTAATAAATGATAGCCGTCCATTTACTCGGAGCCAAGCTGCACTAAAAGCCTCCAATACAGGAAACACAATGTTGCCAGCCAATTAAGACAAAAAAAGCCACAAAACAGACAGAAGATATTAGAAACACCAATCAAGCAGAACACAGCAAACTCCAAGACCAATAAACACAGACCAAGACCCCCAACCAATCAGGAGGAAGAAAAAACCATTCTGGCAGAGCAGTAGGCTAGCCCCAAATTTGAAACAGAAACGGCTGTGAAAATCTGACTCACAGACGAACACAATACAGAAGCCTGATGATGGCAGATGAGATTCTGCCAAAACATTTGCTACAACTTTAAAAGCACAAATATAATGATGTGGGAAAATACCCAAACAAAGGTGGGAGAAGCAAAGAGAGAGAGAAGCAAAGAGGGTGTCCAGGCTGGCTGCTCCAATCCTGGACATGGGGGGGGGGGCTTCCCCCCAAATGACCAGGGCAGCCAGGCCCACATGAGAAGTGCAGGACCCCTGGCTGAAGTAGAACCAGGCATCCCCAAGGGCCAAGGTGTTTGCTGGCCCCAGTGCTTTGCTGGGGGCTGGCTGGCAGGAGAGGACAAAGATGCCAGTGGCCAGCAATGCCAGCAGTCAGAAATCTCCTGCCTGAGCCATGGAAGTCCCTTTGGACCTGGCTAGTTAGGCAAAGCTTCGCTTCTCCATGGAAAGATGTAAAAGAACCCCTTCTGGTTCTGAGCCATAGCAGGGGCAGGAAGGCAGGAGAGCCCCCTCTGCTCTCTGCCCCCAAGAAGCAGCAGCCTCATTTCCAGAAGTTTTGCTGTGAGAAATAACACTCAGCAGGCAACGGAGGGTGGGTGAGAGGGGATTGGGCTGGGAGATAGCACATGCATCCCTTAGGAGACCCTCCCCATTCCCCAGTAAGGCACTGAAGCAACCCAAGAGATATTTAAACACCAGCTCAAACATCATTGAAGAAAGGACTCCCTATTACTACGCAATGAAAGGCGAAGGGAATTAATTATAACTGGATTCTTCCAACAAACCAGATTGTCCTACATATTTATTGTAATAGATATAATACAGGTTTATTTTTGTCTAATAAAGAGCTAGTGTCTATAAGCCAAGTTTTCTATTCTCAACTCCACACTTACATGGAGTTTTGCTGACATTCAAATAAGCTCAATCCCTGGCATGCTGCTCAAAATGAGACCTTATCTGGCTACATTTCAAATATTTCCATTATGTGTGGGTGATAAAAACATTCACTTTTCACTCCTCCACACAAGCCAAAGTTCCTTCTGTAAGCACTAAGAACAATAAGCTGCCAACTATAAACATTGACAATTTAGCCTTGACCAAGAGCAATTCAAATAAACTCCTAAACATAATTAATAACAAAGATTACGGATAAAGCTTTAGAGGTACAAGTGATTCATTCTTTTGGGGCACTGCCAAATCATTATACAGATGAACTATTGAGAAAATTAAGGAAGCAATAGCAAATACTGTTAACAACAACAAAATAGCAGCAGAACCTCTGGTTTACTTAGTAATATATAATATACTGCTCCGATTGTATTTTGTATTTTGACCTGAGGATTCTCAACAGAAAATTAAACAGAAGAAAGATGATGTCCAGCTCTAATACATGGATTTACAGGAAACTATTTTCAATATTTTGGATGAACCAACCACCATGTTTGTTCTGGCAAGATATTGGGGCTTCTGTATCCTTAGGTACACAGAATCTAAGATTGACGATCCAAGTCTGTGGAATGAACTGTCAGGTGAAAACTTACATGGATGCTAACAATAGAATATTATAACAAAAGGAAATCAACTTAGTGATATGTTGCATAACCCTGGAAAGCTGCCTAAACCCCTAGTGACATCAAGAAGAATCCAAGTGGCTGATCAATGTATGTACCTGAATACTTCAGGTTCTTCTTACCTTTCAGGGATGTCAAACTGGTGGTCTGTGGGCCAGATGCCTCATGTGTAGGCCACGCTCACCCCAACTCCACAAATGGGAAAATGTCATGAAATATCATGTGAAGACAATGTGACACTGCGAATTTGACATCTATAAATGACTCAATAAGGTACCTTAGAAGCCATACCTCTTGTTCTACTCCTTCTGGTTTACAGGTTTATTAAACAATACAACTATTCAATTACCTTGGAATTCAGCAAATAAGAACTAATTATATATCTTACAGGATTGCTGTCCAACTTTACTCTGAATGCAATACCAAACACCAACAAGTGAAGATCGGTAGAGTTAAAAGATTGGATTTAAATGCTGGCTTGGAAAATAGAAGAGAAAGTTTAAACCAAAGAGGATTGACCCTGCTGATCAGTGAAGTTACCCAGAAAGAATACAACATTGATGCTGGAGCTTTACAGACCTCTTCAAACATCTCACAAAATAACAGAATTGGAAGGGACCTTGGGGCGTCTTCTAGTCCAACCTACTGTTCAAATAGAAAACCCAACACCATCTAATTATTCTTTGAATATATGGATAAACACAGAACAAATCTTGATAATCACAAAAATTCAATGTGAGGCTGGGGCCATTTACGTAAGATTATATAAATAACAGCAATATTACTGAAGAATTCCATTCCATACAATCTTCATGGTCATTTAGGGACCAGAAAAGAAATGCTGCTGGTACAGTTGTTAAACCAGGTGTAATCTGCAAATTATAGGGGCCTTAAAATGCCTTTTTTTCTGTTTACGATAAAATGTTCTAAGATTCTAATTTATACTAAGGATATTCCTCATCTCAAAGCACAGACCGCTGGAAAGGAAAACAAAGTTGAAGAGAACTGAAACTGTGAAACTAAAAGCTTGTAAGCCAGATTTTCTTGACCTAACATTGTTCAGTTGCGCTGGATTACAATGTACACACTTCCTGAGCAGTACTTTTAATAGCAATATTGAATGGAATTATTAGTCTATTGGGCAATGATTTTCTAACAATTTAAATCCACCTGAAGAATTGGAAGTTAACTGTTCTAGTTTCAAAAACAATATATTTGAAGGATTAAAACTCATTTCTAATAGCTCTTTATTATTGTTTTAGTTAGTAAAGTTTCACACATCTGGAATCTGGAACACTTATATCTTGGAATATTTCCCATTAAACACAAAGTAGCATTTATTTCGAAGTGGACACTGCATTGTTTCAAACATTTCGTATATGGTTGATATTTTTGTTTTCAGGAAGCCAAAGCGACTTTGGAATTAAACCTATAGTAATTAACGGAATGTAGTACAGTAATAGGGAACCCAGGCTAATAATAATCGCAAAATTTGTGGCCACGGAGAGGTGACGATGAGTTTCGCCCCAGCATGCCCGGATTCGCAGCAGCAGGCCGAGTGGAACTTTCACCTCTTTTAACCTCCGAACTCAATTGTAGTCTTCTATTGTCAATCAGACGCTGACAGAACAAATAAAATCCCTCCCCTCGAGCACTATCTCCAACGACGCGTCACAATTCATCTCTCTTCATGAAGCGGCGGGACCTACCCACTTTGGGAAACCACACACACACAAAAAGAAAAACGAAAAAGGCGGGCCTCAATGGAGTTCCCACCTCTCTAGCGAATTTCTATTGGTGTCGTAACTGGTTGCGGTGTTGCTATTGGCTCTTTTTGATGGCCACTCAAATAGCGGGTTCTGCTGGGCGGGGCAGGCATCTGTCGTGCCCCGAGTCTCTCCGTCCATCAGCTCTTCTGTCTTCCTCACACTTTTGTTGGGAGCTGTAAAGCGAGTCGCGCCGAGATCGGCGACGCCAAGGGGAAAAGCAGCGAACCTGGAGGGGCGCCGTTTTGACCCAGAGTGAGCCAGAGGAACAGGCGTGCGGCTCTGAAGGAACTTTTTTTTTCCCTGAGAAAAGGGTAAAAAAAAAAGCAAAAGCGGTGTGTGTGTGTGTGGGGAATCTCTCTCTTTGTGTGCACGCTCATGTGTGGGTGCGTGTGTGTCTATGTGTCTGTTGGGGTTGTTGGCTGGGAACAGGAATAGCGGTTCTGTGGGCGGCGGGGTGGAAACAGCGTGTTTCTTTTCTCCTCACGGCGAGGTCGCAGCTTTGAACCCTCGTCCCCACCCGGAGAATTGGCTCCTTTCGTCGCGGCCCCTCTCCTCCCCTGCCGTTGTGTTCCCCCACCCACCCCCGAGGAGAGGCGGGAGGCGGCTAGGAGCCAAGAAGCGGGGTTCAGGGCGTGCCGGTGACTGTCCTCCGGTCCCGATCTGGAGAGGCGACAAGTTATAGGGACCACGGAAGGCGGCCAAGCGAGTGGCTGTCGTGGCTCGAGCCCTTCGCGCTGAAGCGGGACTCGGTTGTGGGCTGCGAGGGAGGCGGCGAGGAAAGAAAGGGTCCTGGGGCGAGGCTCTTGACTCTCGGCTCGTCCGAGTCTGAAGGGTCAGGTCGGGATACTTGAAGCTTTTTAGATCCGCTCAGGCCTCCGAATCTGAGACGGTCCCATTCCGCTTGAGTCGCTGGAGAGGGAACTCCGGGAACTAAGTTGGGCCAAGTTCTGAGTCAAACCGGCGGCGTCGGGAGGTGTCAGGTCGCCGTGCAAGCCTATGGTCTCTGCTTCTCCTACCTTTGGCCCGCGAGTTTCTCTGACTTAACCAATTGCAGCAAGAATTAAAAAAAGAGGGGGGGGGGCAGAGGAAAGGAGGAGAGGGTTCTGTGGCCCTTCATTATGGAGCATTTTAAAGCTTCCACCACAACTCAAGCAACACTGCTCCCCCTTGCTAATATTTAAGAGTAGGTTGACAAAATGATCATGAAATCAAACAGGGCTTTATAGATTTCATATTATATACGGTGGCATAATGCACTGCATGATTTGTAGTCCATCTTCAGGCACTTAACCCTAGTTACTGTTTTCATTTTAGACTTTGCTATATCCTCTGCTATATATAAACAATTCAAGGAGCAGTCTTAACCTTTGTATAAATGTATATGGGACCTACATTGAACGCTCACAGAAATCACAGACTACATGCATGATCCATCAGTATGCAATGAGCTATCTCAAATGATTCAAAGATTTTTGTGCAAGTTGATTTTATGTACAGATAGTCCTCGATTTATGGCCATACTTGAGCCCAAGATTTTTGTTAAGTGAAACATTTGTTAAGTGAGTTTTGTCCCATTTTATGACCCTTCTTGCCACAAGTGTTAAGTGAATCATTGCAGTTGATAAGTTAGTACTAAATCATAGTGAATCTTTCTTCCCCATTGATTTTGCTTGTCAAAGGGTTGCAAAAAGTGATCATGTGATCTTGGAACATAGTAATGGTCATAAGTATGAACCAATTGCCAAGCATTTGAATTTTGATCACATGATCATAAGGATGCTACAAAGATTATAAGTGTGCAAAATGGTTATAAATCACTTTTTAGTGCTACTGTACCTTTCAATAGTCACTAAATGACTGCTGTAAGTTGAGGACTACCTGTACCAAATCTCATTAACCCACATGATTTTTGCAGGGGATCCTTATAGAGCAATGAAACCAATGTATACATTCACTACTGATGTGTTGCACTGCCTTTTTCCAGACCAGTCAACCATTTTCCCCTTGAGGTCTCCTTTTCAAATATTAAGCAGATCTGCATGTTTCTACTTATCTCCTGAGCCAAAGTTAAAGAGTTGCTGCTTCCTGCTGAAAGATATAAACAGCCTACAGTATTTTAAACATCAAAACATTCACGGAGTGTTCCATAGTCTATGGAAATAGACTATGTTAGTTTTGGAGAAACAATTTTATGTTTAAGATAAGTTCCACCTTTTTAAAGATAGTTATTTTAAAATAGTAACTATTCTGTCATCATGCAAGACCTAATGAAAAGAATAGGAGCACTTTTAACTATTATTGTGCCAACAGATAATTGCATTGGAAGCAGTTAACGTGAAACTGGAAGAATGAACACGAGATGGTGTGGGAGAAAAATTGATCTCTGTGTTATGTAACTATATATTGCTGTTGACCTTGAGTTACGTCCTTGCTTGTGTGCTATAGCCTTTTCCCTGATCCTTTTTCCTATTGCTTTGATATTGGTTCCATGTGGAAATCTGAGGTTCTGAGGCATAGTTACACTTGATTTCACATGATGTTAGAAGGAAGCCATATAAAACTAAAACATGTATATCATCAATCTGCACAAAACTATCGTGGTTTTGGATTTTTGCTTAAGTTAGATAGGTTTGTGATTGTAATGATTTATTGCCTCCAGATAGATATGTTCTGTGATTTAATCTTGGTTCCATTTGGGATCTGAGGAAAAACCACCTGGATCCATAAACCATAAATCCATAAATCTGTAGATCGAAATTTTTGAGCAAGCAATACCAAAAAATGGTCCAATTTGTAATTGTGTTATCTCATTGAATGCAGATAGGCACGAGAGTGATTTCTGATCAACCTATGTAAAATTTTTGTAGACTCTTGTTTTAGGTTCCAATCTGGGTCAGTCACTGGGACCAGAGGTTTAATCTCCTAAGTTTTCAGAGTTGTGCTGGAGCCCATCCCCAAAGAAGTTCTCTCTAATGTTAAATTCCATTAGACTGAAAGCTTGGAAGACTAAACTTCTTGTCCCAGTGACTGACCAGATTGGATCCTGCAACATTATCCTGGGATGTGTAGAATTGCACTCTTGCTTTAGATCACAATTTTATACCATGATGATGATCTGTAGAAATAGGTGGTTGGTGATTTAATTGTTTTCTCATATGAATCCTATGTGAGTTATGTAAAAATGGGTTTTTAACCAGATATTGGGAATTTAGACAAAATAAAAATTGTTACAGCCCAAAGAATTAGCAGAGACATGTATGAATCTTAATTCAAACTGATATTGTAGCAGATGCCTCTGTGGAATAGAATCTACTTCATAAAATGCATGAAGAAGGAAAAATATGGATTTGGATAGCTAGTTGGATTTATAACAGCCTATCTGTTATTGAATCAGCACATTCAGAATATGACATTGGATGAGGGTTTTGTCAAGGGCGCTAAGATTTGTATAAAGAGATTTTTATAGGCAACGAAAATTAATTTTCTTCAAGGGCATCTGTGTTCACAAATTAATTTATATGCAACTAGATCTTCTGCCAGAAGAAATACAACAGGAATTTCCAACAAAGGGTTTATCTTTCAGATTCTTCATTATTAATAAAGTGAGTAATTGTAAATGTATGTTACGGAAATAGTTTCTACAGTGATAATGCCAGCATTTAGTTTCTGAAAGTTATCAATTAGCCAGTCTCTCTATTTTCATTCTTGTCATTAATAAATATTTTGGCATTGACTGTTCTTGCTTCATTTACTTGATCATAATACAATTATGAGTTATGATCTTTTGGATCTATTTTTCCACGAATCACTACCATGAATTTAAAATATCTAAGAAGATATTTTTTAAAATCATATTTCCATTATTAAATGCAAAATGAAAATTGTCTTTGCTGATTTTCTGTTTATTTCTAATTTTATATGTATAGCAAAAGCTGTACTTTGAAATTTTTAGATTTGATAGGTAGGCTATCATATTTCATACATGCAGTTTTATAATTTAAAGATAGTTCGCAAATTCTTAAAGGAATTTACAATATGTGCAATAGGTAAATGTATATTCTGAATTATAGTCTTTAATTTTTAACTCTTTTCTGCTATAAGGCTTTTTTTATAAATCAAAAGGGTGTGGAGAAAAATTAATATGAATCAACCAGATAGAACCTCATATTTTATGACTCATTAAAAAACTGAGTGACAAATAATACAGAGTGAGTTTAATAGCTGCGTATCTTGGCATCAGAGCATGTGTTCATTTTACATGTATACATAAGGAAATAGCATTTATAACTTTTTCTGCCTAGTAATTGTGTGCCATGGTGATTTCTTTTGTAAAAGGATTCTGACAATATTTTTAAGTCAGTAATTTTTTGGGGTGGAAAAGAACAAACTTATTATATTGCATTAATTTCAACTGTATAGCTAATCCAGCAGTTTTGGATATATTCTGCAAAAAATCCAGAATATGCAGTTTCTCTTCTGCTTTTTAAAAATCCAAAATGCAAAATTAGAAATTTGCTAATATAAGCAGTTTGAATTGTATTACATTGATCCAACCAAGTAACTTTGCTGTTGGTTTATTTCTAAACCCAGTATATTGTAGTGAATTATGTTTATATACCATTTTCTTCCCCAAAGCTTCTGGTGATATATTACATTCTTTCTCATTCTTCCCCCCCATCCCCAGTTTTGAGGCTAGTTATCCCAAATGTATTCCATGAACTTTGTGACTAAATCTGGATTTGAATGCTTTCCTTCTAAATATTAATCTTCTACTTCAGTGGTTGATGTTTTATCATCATGCTGTTTTTTCTATACTAGTGTCAGAATCAGTCAATAATCCTTGAGAATCTATGAAGTGGATCATATCAATCATCATGGGAAATAGCTGTTTTCAAATAGACTTAATTTCAGTGTTTAAATATAGAAATAGAATCATAGGGCTCCTTGAGGCAGGAGTACTTATACTATCCTGGACAAATGATTGTCCAATTTCTTTAAAATCTCCAGGAATAGAGCACCCACAACTTTGGGAGGCAAGCTGTTGTATTGAAAAATTGTTCTCACTATTAAGAAATTTCTTCTTAGTTCTCGGTTGGATCTCTCTCTGATGAGCTTCCACCCATTGCTTTTTGTCCTGACCTCAGGTGCTTTGGAAAATAAATCAACCTCTTCTTCTCTGTGACATCCTTTCAGAATAGAATAGAATAGAATTTTTTATTGGCCAAGTGTGATTGGACACACAGGAATTTGTATTGGTGCATATGCTTTCAGTGTACATAAAAGACAAGATACATTCATCGAGTCAAGAATC